AGTAATAGGCACCTTGGGTGCAATCCCAAAACATCTGGAGCACCACTTGAAAACCATCAGCATTGACAAAATCACCATCAGTCAATAGCAAAAGGTAGCTTTACTTGGAACAGCTTACATCCTGCAATGATACCTTTAACACCATCAGATAACAACATCTGCCTATCCCAGTCCTTGGGAAGGACTCAATAGGTGGATAAAAATGCCAATTCCAGTCTAAATAACTGGCTGGCTGTGTGACCAAACATACATAATAATATAACTTCCTACTCATTGTCACACTGAGGAAAATCATTCTCAATCACCTCCTGCCAGGTGGGGAGCAATCATAATTCCAATCCCCCAAAGTATTCTCAGATAGACTGTCTTAGTGGCTTTTCTAAATGCCAGCAGATTTGGTACTAATCTGACTTTGGACGGAGCACTGTTTCAAGCAAAGACCTCCACTTTGTGTCACTCCTAATTGCCACACTTTTAAAAATTGATTATTCCTACTATTTCTAAGAACCCACATTAATTGCTTTCTTAATTCAAGTCAGCAATTATTCCAGGAGAAAAAGTCATTATCTTGTTATCTATTTTCCATGTCTTTATATTCATAGTCTCATATGCATTTTTTAATCATATGTCTTCATTTTAGCAGTCTCTCAGTATTTTATCATTACCTTCATTGAGTTAAACTCGTATGCTCATGTTTTATGCCCTTTACATTTCCTTATTTGTACTCAGCCTTTTTCTCTCTTTATACTTACAGTATTGTGTATATATTTAGAGCTATGGTTAAGCTTCTCCTTTTCTTGAACGATGATTCAGCTTAGTAAACATTTTCATAAAGGTTAACATCCTTTTAATCAGTTTGATAGTGCTTTCTTGGCACTTTCCTAGGTACCTACCTTGTACATAATGTTCTATTCCCCGTAAACATACTTAATAAATAAATTTTCATTCCTCCTTTGTGCTCTTATACAACTTTGCTTATACATCCTAAATTCAGTTTATTTTAATCTATGTGAACTAGAAGCTGCTTTAAGGTCTAAGGCAGCGACAGCTAAGTTACGTTTGTATCATCAAAACAGTTTACATGAGCCAAGCATTTTTCAAAGCGTTATCATTTGTGCAGCTATTCTGAACTGAAGTGGAAAAGATGTTTTAGAACGTGATCATATGTTGCATCTGTTGGCACTTCCTTAAAGAAAATGCCACTTCTTGGGCTCACCTAGAAATCACACAGTCCCAGAAAAATACATGTTTATTTCAGGAGCACCAAGGGGGCATGACAAGGTCATTGTACCCTAACAGTACATGCAACTCCAGAAAAAAGTGTGGCTTTTTAAGGAGGTGTAGCAAGTGTGTGTCCAAATCCTCTCCAAAGCTTTTCCACTTCGGATTCAAATAGTTGTGCATATTTATGTTACGTTATGTTTTATGTTTGTTACATTACGCTGTTATTTTACATTATATTATTATACCTTACATTATGTTACCTTACATTATTATTGAATAATAGTATTATTGGAGGTAAAATATTTACAATACAATCTTGTACATGTTGTGTTGTGCCAAAATTCTGAAAGAAACGTTTTTTGACACATGTGGGTGGAGCAAAGCTTTCTAAAGAAATCAGGATCGGTGAGTTCATGCTATTAGAACAAGTATAAGTATTTATATAGAACAAGTATTCTTTAACTTGTGTTATAATATGCCAAGTAAAGCTAAACAGTTGTCCCAAGTAACAATTTGACAACACATGGCAATCGTGAAAATCTAGCTGCCATGCTACTGGTAATAATGTCAATATTGGTTTCACCCTGTAATCCAAAGCAAAGCCAATAGATACATGGAGGTCTCTCACATGTAATAGTCCTGTTCTTTTCAACTGAAGGAATCATTTCTCGTGGGGTGTTATATACCAGCCAGTTTATGCACTGAGATCAGAGGGAAGGCTCTGTTTCCAATTCCTTCTCTGGATATGGACCAGTGACTTCAGACAAGTCCTTCTTGGTGATAATACCCCATCTGTGGAATTCACTTACCTGCAGCTGGCACCAAATCTTATACATTTAAATGAATCTTGTTAATTCATCTTTTACCTATGATTTGAACCACATTGGAAGTTCATCACATCTCTCTGCTAAAGGCCTATCAGCCTGTATTACTGAAACAGTGACAGAGGAAGTCTCCTGACCCAATTTCTGTATGTTCTTTAGAATATGTGGAGAAAACGCCATGCCCCAAATAGCAAAGTGCATCAAGGGCTCTGCATGCATTTTGCCCTGGGAAAATAGGTTCCTGGCCAACAAAGAGACATATGCTCAGCTGGGAGAAGAGCTTGATATCATGAAATTGCTATTCTCCTATCTCTTTTCACAGTCCTCCTTCAATATATGAGAAGACAACCCCCCCCCACCCAGAAAAGCAGAATTTTGTCATTTGAGTCCATTGAGACAAATGGATACCTGAGGTACAAAAGAACAATAAATCAATGAACAAACTGGGGGAGGGGAGAACTTTAACACAGAAGCTGTTATCAAGTAGAAATGTTCCAAAGACTAGGAAATTACGCTCTTATTCTTTGTTACAGTTGTGCTCTTATACATATAAGATGCTTACAGATACACACAGGAAGTTCAGTTCAGTTTGAATTTGCACCTACAGGAGATGATGTTGCCATATCTATTCTTATTGCGGTTTTCATCTTCTTTGGCGGTGTCCCAAGATGCTGTCTGCCCTTCAGGTAGAGCCTGCAGATTAAACAGTGGAATATTTATAAAATAGGCGAGGCCTTCAAATTTTTTAACGTAATGAAGGAGAGGGCAAGAGAGAGGCAGTATATAATTTAGCACTCTGCCAAGAGAACTGTTTTCACAAGAAAACAATGATGAACAATAACGAAGAGACCATTAGCATCCTATGGCTTATGCTAACTTACAATAGCTTTGCTAATATAATTGGAACAAAAACAATTGAAAGGATTTTGCTTCTACCTATGTATGATTATTATTATTTATAGCTCCCCAACCCCAATGGAGTCTGGGCGGGTATTATTATCAGGGTTACTATGCTGCCATCTCTTACACAGAGACGGGGGTTTTCTCTCTCAAGTCCATATGAAATATCAGGATACATATATGGCATTTAAACTGAGGCCAGAAGCTGTACTATAAATTAAAAAGTCAAAGTATCTGGGAGTATAGGAGTTTTCCATACAATCCTCCCATCTATTATAACTGTATAAATAAATACATGTGGATGTGCACACAAACACACCCACATCAAGGACGGAGTTGTTGTTTTTTTTTTTGTCTGCGCTCAGTCATTGCTGACCCTGCAG